CTCATTTGCAGATGAGGAAAATAATACCCACCTCCGAGTGTTGCAAGATACAAGCAAAATCATCAATACAGTGCCTGACAGGCGTGCTCAGATATGTCAGCCACTGGTATTGCTATGAGATGGGCGCCATCAGGAAGTTACCTGACCTCACCAAGCCTGCTTTCCTCACCTGCAAAAATGAGAATGCTGCAGCAGTGTTTGCCCTGCGCGCACCAGGAATTAACTGTGAAGAGATCCTTGTTATGTAAGCTATAAAGTTCTTTTAAACCTGAGCTATAAATAAGAGAATGAGATCATCCCATCTACAGTTTTAAAAAATACTGAGTGTCTATTTCCTGACAACAAAGTTAGCTTAATAGATGTTCTCTGAGTAGGTTCTGTGCATGGGGCCATAAGCAAGAGAGGATCATGGGAGTTATGACTGAGCAGAGGGAACAGATGTGATGTGCATGTTGGGAGCCCCAGGCTCTGTCCCATTCACTCTCTCCAGGCTCATACGTATCCTGACAACCCCACATCTCTTACCGCCAGCTGAGCCCTCTCTAGACACAGGGTCACCCTGGTCTACCTCTCTCCTAGTTCTTCTCATAGAAGCCTCAGGTCCAAAGCTAAGCTCTCCTCTCCCTCTGCCCCACAGCCTTCCAGTCTTCGTCAGCAGCAGCTCCATCCTTCCATCCCACTTTCTCTCAGACCTCACAACTGAACAGGAATCTTTTTTATTCTCCTTGGGGAAAAAAAAAAAAATCCAGGATCTGACCGCTTCTCTCCACCTCCAGCACGGCGCCCGCCTGACAGCACACCCCCTCTCACCCGGATCACTACCCGGGCCTCCATTTCCCTCACCTCCCCAGCAGCAGCCGGTGTGGCCCCCAAGAAAGGCCATGCGCTGCCCACAACCCACCAATGGCTTCCCGCTTCTTTCACGTGAAGACCGAAGCCCATAAACGTCTGCAAAGCCCTGTACCATTGGTCCCCTTCCAACAGATATGATTTATTCTATCGCTTGATTATTGTCTGTCTGACTACAAGCTTGGCAAGGGGTCATTTACTGGCACATAGTGGGCACTTTATAAATATGTATTCAATGCCTAAAATGATAATACAATTGTTTAGCTGCATAGTGATAAGTGCTATGGACAAGATGTGCTACTGTTAACAGTAAATCCATAGAAAGAGAACTCTAGCTGGATCTTATAGCTTCAAACACAGAGCTTGTTCCAGTAAGATGGTGTGCAATGGAGTGCCTGGCACAGAGTAGGCGCTTTCATGTACTAACTGAACTGGGAACTGAGATGATATCAGAAAACTGGGAAAGCCTCCCTCATTCTTTCAGAGACTGCCCAGCGCTCCTGCGCTCTCGCTCTCTCTCTCTCTCTCTCTCTCTCTCTCTCTCTCTCTCTCTCTCTCTCTCTCTCTTTCTTTCTCTCTCTCTCTCTCTCCTTCACCTACCTCCACCCCCCACCAGCCTTGGGCCCTTGCACATATCCATCCCACACCCTGCTTCCAGGGCCTAAAGAATAAAAAGACAAGTCACCTGGACACAGCCAGTTCAAACTGGCTCTGCTAGAGGCAAGATGGGCTGGGACCCTCTCCCTTAAACCTCACTGCGGGACGGAGAGGCCAGACCCACTGTGTCCACTGGAGGACGCCAGCGTGGAGGAGGAAAAGGCAGCCTGGGAGGAAGGGGCTGTGAGCAGGGCAGTACCAGTCCCACCTCCCAGGTAGGCCGGCAGAGGAGACCAGCTAGGAGAACTTGGAAAGAGGTTGCCCTCTGCCGGTGAACCTGTAAAACTAGCTCACGGTGGAAGAGCGCGGGGATATTTGCGCAAAGAATTGTAACATCTTAGAGGCGGGGCATCCCAAAAAGAGGGGGGCGCGGGTCAAGGTAAGGTTGGGCCCCATTGGGCTCACGGAAGAGTCTCGGCACACTGAGCTGGGTCTGCAGACTGAGCCTGCCGCCGCCGCACGGCGCATTCACCCGCCTCCCCGCTCCGAGTTCACGGCCTCCCGGCACCTTCTCCTGCTCCGGCCCCCCACCCCCCCGGCCGGACTCCGGGCACAGGACGCACCCCCAGGCGGACGCCCAGGTGTGACCCCGGCAGCCTTTTCTCGGTGTGAATTATAAGTGACCCTCCCTGGCTAGCACCGCCCAGCCCTTCCCAGGCGGCCGGGGCAGACCCCGGGGTCTGCGGGGCGGACTGCGATCTTAGTGAAGAAAGACCCTTTCACACCCGCATCCTCTCCTTCTCCGAACCCGAGCCCCGAGAAGGGGCGCAGAGGCAGCAGACAGCCCCAAGCAGAGCCCTCGCGCACCAGCGCCCCGCTCCCACTGAGAGTCTCCCCGCAGCCCCCTCGCGGGGCTGGGCGTTGTCGAAGGAGCTGCGGGATAAATAGAATTATTTTCCTGCAACCGGAGCTGCAGGATCGCCAGCTTTCAGGACTGAGCCCCAGCTCAGGCTCCAGGGTCTGAAGAGGGTAGGAAGGGAGTCAAGTTTATCATTGGCGGGGGCCTGTGCGTCCCGGCTGGGGGTTTGGGGGTCCTGGCTGGGGCCTATGAGTTGAAGGCATCAGCATCTCCTTTCTGCGCCAGAGGAATCAGGCTGAGCACAGCCGCGGAGACCCCAGGGATGGTGTACTCGCCTGGCCGCCTCCCTGGGGACCTCGGGACTGGTTGCAACCACCCCACAGGCAGGGCAGGCGCAATCCAGTCCCAGAGGAGGAGCGGCTTTCTCCTCTACCGACCCCAGGGGAATGCAAACGGCCCCTGGTCATGTTCCCGCATTCCTGCCTGACTTTTAACAAAACTGTTGTTGGAGGTTGGCCATGGTGGGCTGGGCTGGAGTTCCCCTCAGGGGAGCAGACTGCCCACTCCCAGGCCAGCAGCCCAGGCAGCGCCTGGCCGGCCAGCCCTTCCCAAACAAAGCCCCTTTGTCCCCCAACCCTCCTCCCCCTGCACACACACACACACACACACACACACACACACACACACACCATACCATACCATGGGCCTTGTGCTGTCCCTCCATGCTCAGGGCTCCCTAGAGCCAAGGACAGCCTGGAGCCTCGCTGGCTGGAGGTCCGCCTGGAAGGAGACAGAGCGCCATTCCCAATCGCTGGGGAAGGGAACTTTCCTGGCCCTGAGCAGGTGCCGGCCCTTGAGCCTGCCTGACAGCTGGTTCAGAACAATCATTACCCGCAGGGAGGTGTGTGCCTTGTTAAGATTCCATGATTGGTAAATGGCAGAGGGGGACTCAAACCCAGCGCTGTTTCAGAGAAATGACAGATGCGTACGTACATAACATAGACACGTGAATATGTATATTCTCTCCATTGCCCGGGGTTGAGGATTACTGACCCTTTGACACGGTTCCTTTTCTAGACTATCCAAAACTCAGCTGGCATTTGCTTGACTCCAGTTTTTCCACATGCCCCAGTAAATCACATTTTCCCACACCCTCCGCCCACATCCTTGACTGCATGGTAACACTTAGGGCCACGGTATGACTGTTTAGGAGAGGGGCGGGGGGCTGACTTATGGGCCTTGCCTCATCTTTTGATTCAGAGTGGGCAGTGCCTTCTACTTGGGTGTGCCTCCAGAATATATCTCTCTCTCTTCCTCTCTCTCTCTCTCTCTCTCTCTCCCTTCCTTCCCCCCTCCCCCCCCCCCCCACACACATACACACACCAGGCTGGGCTCTGGCTTGCCAGCCCTCCCTCAATGCACTGCCAGGACCTGGAGGACATGTGCCCTCCCATCCGCTCTGCAGAAAGGCAGGGCCTCAGGGTGCAGTGGATAATGGTCACTCAGTCTCCTCCCTCCCTTTGGGAACTATTGGCAGCATCCATAGTTGTCCACACAGGCTAGAGCCAGTCCCAGACCAAGGATGATTGCCAAGTGCACAGTGTGGGGTCACTATGGGACCACAGACAGAAGTACAGACTGAATGACTCCTTGGGGGTACTGGTTATTTAGGGGATGGGGAGACAAAAGAGGTGCTTGCACTCACAGCTCCATACATTACAAAATTCTCTCACCCCTCCCCTTTCCTGCACTCCTCCTCTATTTGCATCGGCTGTGGCCAATTCTTCCTGCCAAAGACTCAATACAGGTGGGAAGTTTAATTTAATTGAGGGAGGCCTGTATGCTATTTAGGTATCAAGAATCATCAAATAAATGGAATTAATTAAACAAAAATAAAATGCCCAGGACTAGGGTAACTGATTCATGCAAAATTTACAATCTCTGATGGACCCTTAATATTTGGATCAACATATGACTCTCAGACCTGAGTGACCTTGAGGCAGGAAGGTCAGGTGAAAAGGGCAGGTTCCAGCCTGGCTTAGAATCCTGGTTCTTACACCAGCTGTTACTCAACCTCTCTGAACTTCAGATTCACCTTCCATAAACAGAAAAATAGTCACTATATCTTGACAGGGTTGTGTGAAGAGTAAATGAAATAACATATTTGAAAGTTCCTGGTGCATAAGAAGTATACTTAGTTTATTTCTTGCTGAAAATTGTATTAGAAATAAAGTGAAAAGTGATTCCTGTCATCACATGTCAATACCCCTGGAAAGACAGTCCATCAATGGTCCATGGGCACCTCCAGCAGAATCAGGAGATATTTAGACAGGAGAAAGGGAGATAGAATGAGGACTAAGCGTTCAGGGACTGGTATGCCTTTTGGTTTCTCAGTTTGGGTGCAGATGGAGGAAGCGCAGTGCTCTGGCCACATGAATATGTTTTAGTGACATTTAAAAAATTGTCCCCTAGGCCCTGACCAGGTAGATCAGTTGGCCAGAGGATCATTCTGTTACACCAAGGTTATAAGTTCCATCCCCAGTCAGGACACACACAAGGAGCAACCGATGAATGCATAAGTGGAACAACAAATCAATGCTTCTCTGTTTCTCTCTTTCTCTCTCATCCCTCTCTCTCATCTCTCTTTTCCTCTCATCTCTTTCTCCTGCTCCCTCTCAAAGTCAATTTTTAAAATGTCCCCTTTTCTAATAAATTTATCCAATTCTAGTCTCCTCCTTTCTCCCTTCACCCCTTCTTCTTCCCTCCCCTATGGGTTTCTTCCCATAGTTGTTATATCTCAATTAGTCCTTTTGAATCTCAAATTCATCATCTGAAAAGCTTATAATTGGAGTAATGTATAGGGTTGTGATAAGGATTAAGTGAGATAAACATATTCAATACATTAGTCCTATTTTCCTTACGTCATCTCATGTTTTCCTCTTCCCTGTTGACTTCCAATTCTCCCTGCTTCCCCTCCCTCCCGTTCTCCACGGAGACTGAAGGCGAGGCTGGATCAGGCCCAGACGTGTGGAACGGGTGTGGGAAATGGGCGGTTCCTCGATTCATTCCTCCCTCTTTGGACGCCACCCTTTGAAGATGACTGCCGTGATGATTGGCTCTTAACATCTTTCGGCTAATAATATCCTGCCACTGGCCTCTGTGAGTGACCAGCTCTTGAATTACTTACTTTAAGGAACTCCTCACTGGGTGTGTGATCACACTTTGGAATCCTACAGCAAATAAACTCAATACTGTAAGCTGATTCTATTTGAGGCCATGCCTATACTCAGCAACATTAAAAATGTACCAGCCTGAGCTGAGGGCTCCTTGGGCAGGTCATAGAGTGGACTCACAGTGTTCATCTGGCTCTTGGTTCGAGCTTAGAGATCTGGCTTCTCCTGAGGACTGCCTGGGAGTCAGGGCCCCACATAGTCTAGGATTCTATGGGAAAACCCCTCCTGGGCCAGAGCTAGGCTGGCTGCCTTGACACAGAAGCGATCCTTCTGGCTGCAATGCTGCCTCCCTTAACACTGACATCTGGATTGATTGCTTGATCCACTTGTTTATATGGCAACTATTTACTGTGATGCCTGCTGGGGCACAGGGTTTTGATAATAAAAGTCTAGACCCCTCCCCCCACTCAGGACAACTCTGAAGGGTTACTCCAGTTTCAAAGCTCTCATGCGCCTGCTGAGCTCTTTGTTCTGACTGTATCACAGCCCAGCCTCTGCTCTGCCTAGTGCTGTGTCTTTCACTTCCCCCACAGGTGCTGCCCCTGAGCCCTCCTTATTAATGTCCTTCATGTCAATCTCATCCCAGAGTCTGCTTCCTGAGCCTGTTCTACAGCATGGGACATAGACTGAGACATACATGTTGTAAAATCCTGGCTCTAGCAGGTAGTGGTTGAGTGAATTTGAGCAAGTTATTTAACCTAAGTTTCACTTTTCATGAAGGGAGGGGGGGGGAGACACGAAACAAAACATTATTGTGAGGATTAAATGGGTCTGTATACAATATAATGTATAACTACCTGGACCACTGAAACAGCTCAGCAAATGATAGTCATGCAGCAACAGAAACCAAAAACACTGCTTCCTGGGGTCATTGTGAACATTAAATCAGAGAGTGCATGCAAATTGATTGACATAGTGCTAGGTAAATATTACTACCTTTACAGAAAAGAATGAGCTAATTACTTGGGGAGATAAAACCTGGGTACAAATAACCCCAATACTACACAGGCATCACATGTCAGGCTCTTGTTACCTGTCAGGCTCTCTATAGGATCATAAAATCTCCAAGTAGAAAAGAATCTTGGAATTCTCCCAGTTCAACTTTTTACCCAGCGAGGACATTCCTTCTTGAATGTTTGTTTAACCCAACAATTATTTATTAACCCTGCTCTGTGCCAAGAAGTGTAGTGAATGGAAATGCTGACAGAGATGATTACAATGCAGTCCAGTGCCAGGGCAAACGCAGGGACAGTTTCTGCACAGCGTGATATCTTCAGAGGAGAGGGACACCTTTCCCCTGCATCGAATGAGGTGAGTTATTTCACTGCCGGCCAACTCTGGTGTGTATTTTCTGTGCACAGACTTGTATTTTAAGTAGCAGTCCTTGGGTTCTTTTCCTTCTTGTTCTATATTCTGCAGTCAGCTATCTACACATCCACTTACCCATCTCTGCTCAAGCTGCCTCTGCTCCAGAAAGGTGGGCTTCCCCTGGCACTTGAACCCCAGCCTGCAGGCTCTTTGAGGGCGACAGCCGGGTCTTATTCATCACCGGGCCCCCAGCAAACTAAAGAAGAAAACAACAACCCAAATATGCACCCCATTATGTGTGGGTTCAAAAAAAAAAAAAAGACAAACATGCCTTTAATTCAAATTTGTTGCAAACAATGGCAGCAGAGAAAATGACCAGCTTAAGCTTCCTCAAGCTTCACAAGCAACCCTGTGTTTTTAATAGGCTGGGTTTTTAATAAGTGGGTGAAACCAGTTTTTGAAAACCCCAGAAGAGTTCACTTTGAGTTCACTACAGCCCAGTAGTTCAGGAGCCAATGTATGAGCCATCCCTGTTTCTACACATAGCCATGTTGTGGCTTCTGGAGATTATCTTTAGAGATGGTTTGTATACCATGAGCTTCACACAAAGCTGGGGGTGGGGGGGAGAATTTTTATTTTAAATGGTAAGCGTAAGTTCTGTGTCACATTTGAGAAAGCACTTGGACTTCTACTCTTGAGAAACAGAAGGACAGGATGACCCACCAGAGACAGCACCGGCTTCCTGAGTGGGGCCCTTTTCTCCCAGCCTCACTCTCCTGCGGAGGAGCCAGGGCCATTCCCCACAGGTGTTGGGGGCAGGAGCAATTTGCACAAAGAAACCGAAGTTTGGTTCATTGCCGTATGTTTGCCTTTATTTTTTTTTCACTTTTTATTAAGGTATTATATATGTACATATCTTACCATTGCCCCCACCCACCCACCCATATATGCCCTCCCTCCCCAGAGTTTTGCCTCCATTAGTTACACTTATCTGCATGCATACAAGTCCTTCAACAAGTCCTCTTAGCTCCCCTATATCTCCCTATTATGTTTGCCTTTAACCATAAGTCAGATCCTTCTTCCTCATTCTCTTTCTCCTTATTTGAAAATGTTATCACTTATTCATCTGTATTGTTTCTCTGCATGACTGCAATTGTAGTTTCTATAAAACACAGTTAAGGTATCTTTTATTTAGCAATTTATCGTGTTTGTTGCTATAAGATATTCATACAGTGGGAAAGGGGAGGGACTCTGTTTAATCAGCTGTAAGGAGAGGGCTATGCAAATTCACCCAGGCTTTCCTCTGGAGGAAAATACAGGAAGTCAGAAGACAAAGAAAAATTGATGAGGAAAGGCAGAGCTTTACAACTGGCAAAGGGAGGAATGGTTCCAGGAACTTCAGAGGCAATGGGGACCTCTTCTTGGGGAAGTTGGGGAGCACTTGTCTACTCTTGGGACAGAGGGATAAGCTCTTTAGGATACTCACTCAAGAGAAAGAATATTTGTTTGATGAATGGTGGGAATAAAATAGTTTTCAGTGATAAGATCTGCTTACATTTTTCAGAATTTAAATAAATCAGCCCAGCCAGTGTGGCTCAGTCATTGAGCATCAATCCGTCAACTAAGAGGTCAGGGCACATGCCCAGATTGCTGGCTAAATCACTAGTAGGGAGCGTTTTGGAGGTATACGATCTATGTTCCTCTCTCATTGATGTTTCTATTGTATCTTTCTATTCCTTTCTCTTCCTCTTGCTTAAATAAGTAAATAAATACATACATACATACATACATAAATACATACATACCTAAATAAATAAATAAATACATAAATACCTACATACATAAATAAGTAAATAAATAAATAACATACTTTAAAAAAAATTGAAATAGATCCTGGAGTTTCTTTATTGACTGGCTGCATTTTTGTTATACTCAAAACACTTCCTCCCCCAGTAGGGATGGATGGATATAGTTTCATTATTGAACAGTTGATTTCTTTTTCTTTTTTTTTTCTCTTTTCATTGACTTGGTTAAAATCAACCACCTAACATTGATTTTTAGTCATCCTTCTTAAAAAAAAAAAAAAAAAAAAAAAGGCAATATCATGCCCTTACATAATGTTAGCATTTGGAGAAATGTCTACACCATGTCTAACTTCTCACAGTGAGTAATTCTGAGACTCGTTCCTCAGTTAAATGTGCTGGAGACAGATGTGTGTGAATGATCACATCACCTCCCCTACCTTCTTTGTCCAGCCCCACAGCTTGGAGGTGAAGCCCTGGGTAGAGCAGTGCCAACACTTCTCTGGGCAGGAACATGGCTCCAGGGGCTGTGGCATGTGAGCATTTGCAACAGCATCACACACACCCTCCTCCCAACAGCCCGCCAGGGGAGTCAGGAAGCAGGCAGGATGGCTCACAACACAGCTGCATAACAAAGGCGATTTTGGAAGCACGTCCTCTGTACCCGGCCATGGGCCACACGCTGTTCACCCATCTCCTTGTTCTTCACAACACAACAGTAACTGGTAATAAATGAAGAATTCTCCGGGGTCACATTGTTCTGGGACCGTGTAAGCTAACAAGCTAAGAGGCAAGGACACCTGATGAGCTGATGGATCAGAGAGTCAACTTGACCGTGAGTTCCTTGAGATTAGATTCTTCAGCTGAGTCAATTTTACCTCTGCAGGCCGATGCACTAGAAAACTAAATAGATAGTTTCTAGTCTGTGGCAAAATGGGCCTCAAGGTTGAAGGGAGCAAGAGAGATTGGGTTACTTATAGAGCAAGGAAAACTGCAAGGCACAAAATCACCCTTAAACAGTTGTGGTCATCAAGTTGCTGCTGACAGCATGATATCAGGTCTGAGGACAGAGGAGCTGATATCTAAGGGAGTTCGGATATTCAGACGCATTTGAGGCCTCCCCAGTGTGATAAGGCCTCCACATCAGGGCTCATCTGGCCTGAGCCCTTCTACATGCAATGTTCCCCCAGGCCTGTCACTGAGTGTCTCTGCAAAAGCTTACTGCTGGGCTCTTCCTGTCCTCAGCCTCCAACACAGGTCAGTCCATCACGGCCCAAGCTGGTATGGCTCGGGTGCCACTGTAGTCCCCGACTGGTGGTCTCAGGAACACCAGGCCTTCCCAGTGTGCAAACACATCTTCTTTTGCTCAGAAGCAGGAATAATTGTAGATAAAGAGAAGGGCCAGTGCTGTAAGCTTCAAGTGAAGCTGTTTTTTTCTCATGACTATAGATGGACTTGACAAACTTCAAAGGAAGCAGCCAGTTTAGCTCCAAGCTCCTCGCTGACTTGAATCCTCTTCCCTGGGTGTCATGCCAGCAGCCGGACAGCAGGTGCGGTGAGTTTGGGGCTGGTGTCTGCGATGCCCAGTGACCATCTGCACACTGATCACTACTCTTTTGCTGATCTGGATGAAGTTGCTCTCAAACATGGGAATGCACTTGAACTGATCACTCCCTGAACTATGAATATTTCCAATTCTAAAGGCTATATCACCTTCCCTGTAAAATGATTGAATCAGATTATTTTTAAGCTCAATGCTAATAAACCTCAGTTTACCTACCAACTCTTTTCCCAATCCCATTCTTCTATCCGGAGCTGCCTTCCTGTGTTGGTTTACCTCTATCTCGAGAGTACACGGAACATATAAATTTCAAACCTGCTTGACAATGCTTTATCACAGCAATTTATTTATTTTTTTTTTACCACCCTTGGCCTCGCCTCCCAGCTGGCCAATTGGCTCCGATCACAGTCGCCCAGCTGGACCCCACCCATGCAAGAATTCATGCACCAGACCTCTAGTGAAAGCATAAAATGGTATCAGTAGAGCCCAGAAGCAGCAAATTCTATTTTTTATATCTTTGCTTAATCCTCATATAAAGATATTTTTTCCATTGATTTTGTTTAAATGACAGTAACTAGATTTTTTTTTTTAAATGTTTTTATTTTATAGAGAGAGGACAGGAGAGGGAGAGAGGGATAGAAGCATCAATGAGAAAGAAACATCTACATTGCTTATTTGGCTCCTTCCAGCACACTGCCCCCCTACTGTGCACTGAGACTGCAACCTGGTCATGTGCCCTAACAGGAAATTGATCCAGTGACCTCTCCACATTGAACCACTGAACAACACCAGCTGGATCTTTTAGAGAGAGTGGAAGGGAGGGAGGGACATTGCAGGAAGGGGGATTGAGAAGGAGGGAAGAAATAGAGAGAGAGAGAAAGAGTGAGAGAGAGAGAGAGAGAGAGAACATCAAGATGAAAGAGACACATAAATTGGATGCCTTCCTCATGCACCCAGACCAGGGCCAGGGATTGAAATCGCAACCCAGGTACATGTCCTTGACTGGGAATTGAACCTGCAACCCTTTGGTGCACAGGCCAATGCTTTAACCACCAGCCAGGACAAGTTCCAATTTTAAAGAAACTGTCACCAGTGTATATAAAAGCTGCACACAAAGATACAGATATATACTTTAATCGGTTGTTAGCAATGGGACAAATTTTTCTTTTGGCAGTCTGAAAAAAAAAAAAAAAAAAAGGAGACTGCCTTTTGAAGGCAAACATTTTGGATTCATTTTGAGGACAATGTGAATGGGAATAAATGAAAGGAAAACAAACAGCAGAAATAGGACACTAGTGGGTGCAGCAGGTGATGAGACAGCAAAGGACAACTACGGTGTAACCTTCAGCAAGTGACTTAGTTTAAGTTTCATTATCACTGAAATACATTCATTCATTGAAGGCCTAATACCAACTCTTCTAGGTAATAAAGATAAAGCACTGAACATGGAGAACATGGAGTGGGAGCAGAGGCCCAGCAAATACAAGGATCTGAAGCAAAATAAATTTGTTTGAGGAATATTAGAAGGCCAGTAAAAATGCCAAGTAGTGAATGGGGGAAGGGAGTTGTTGTAGTAGATGAATGAGAGAACTAGGCAGAGACCAGATCATATGGGAACTTGCGGGCAATATGAAGAACTTTGACTTTTCTCCTAAGTCAAATGGACTTGATTGAAGAATTTCAAGCAGGTGAATGGCATGATCTAATTTACATTTTTGCAAGATTTCCCTGACTTCTGTGAGAACAAAAAATTGGTGGTGGAGAGTGACAACGGGGCAAACTGTTAGGAAGAATAACAGCAGTCCAGGCAATAAATACTGGTGATTTGGAATAAGATGGTAGTAGCACAGATGGTCAGATACAGGCTATGTATACATATATATGTATGTATGTTTGTTATCACAGCAAATTTTAACGAAGTAACTTGCTATTGTGTTTTGGTTTCCCATGTAGCTTAAGAACATAATGTATTAAGATACTAATAAGTGTTCAATATATACATCATTTTTATTTCTTAGTGTAAATTAATTAAACATCACTACGGTGTCACCCTTAACCGCTTAGGTGTCCTCGAGTAAATTCTTTTTTTTTTTTTCTAGATCGCATAACTTCTAGAAGCTTATCGGAGCCCATATCCATGCTTTCAAATCTGAGAAAATATCTCAGATTGTAGTGTCAAATCAACACAGAGAATTCTGCACATTCGTGGCTAACTTCCCCTGAAACACCACGGCCAAGTTTCTCTTCTCTCAAGACTCACCTCTTAGCTATGTAACCTCTGTGAATAAAAGTTGCCAAGCCTTCCTCTCTCCTGGGTGGGACTCATATGGCATGGTCAGTGTCTGCCTCACTGATTTTTCTTCCTCTGCCATACTATGGCTGATCACCCACCTCCTTTTCTGCTGGAAATATGTGTGTGTTTTTATATATAAATCTTACTGCATTCCAAGGGATTAGGAGGTTGTGTGATTAGAGGCACAAATTGTGTGCAGTGATGTCACACTGGCAGCTTAAAATCTGCCGTGGTGGGAGTATTTATACTAGAGAAATTGGCAAACACTACAAATCTGACCAAAGCTGGTTATTCAGTAACTAGCACACTGCTGGTTATGAGGGCAGCAGGCCCAACAGCCTTGTTACTTCTTGCAGGTGTGTATTTCTGCTTTGATCCATTACAGGCTGATCTATGGACACAGAGAGAGCAACATTTGGTGTTATTTCTTAAAGGGCACCTTGCTTTCTCTCCAGCCCTCACATTAAAGGGCTGGCCTGGCCAAGGCTCTGGCCCTCTGGGAAGCTCTGGTCTACTGCGGATACCCCTGGCCCTCAGCACGTTGCTTCCCACCAGGCCTCTCACCTGCCAAAGGTACTTACTATGTGTTCCAGCTCCCGGGAAGGATTTCGTAAGACCATTCATTCTAAGTTAATATTGACACAATGTGTAACTTGCCAATGTGTATTTGCATTTTCATAGGAAAGAGACACTTTAAAGGAAGAGAGCCCATGGATAAAAGTTCTAGCAACACTACAGACCTCTGGGGGAGTTATAATATTTGGGAGCAAGGAGCATTCGGATATTTCCTCAGTGTTCTTGGGTTACCTAAGGAAAGAGACACTTAAAGGAAGAGAGCCCATGGATAAGAGTTCTAGCAACACTACAGACCTCTGGGGGAGTTATAATATTTGGGAGCAAGGAGCATTCGGATATTTCCTCAATGTTCTCGGGTTACCTAAGGGTAACCCCACTAATTAATTTCGCAAGTCTGGGAAGGAGTGCTGATAATAATGATAATGATGATGATGATGATGATGGTTCACTGTCCTTCCTGATAGTATCCCAGAGGATGTCTCTGACTTTTGATAACCTTGCTCCTCAATGATAGAAAAGTATTTGTCCAAAAGCAACTATGTATTACCTGCAATTTGGCAAGATGCTAACAATGGTCCTGTTTTGCCAATATGCCAATGACGACATCCAGAAAAGGTGCAGTAACTCAAAGGAAGTAGACTCGTGTGTTCCGTGTCCCAGGTGCACCCTCCCCTTTGACCAGCCTGCTCATTCCTCACCTCTGAATGTCTACAGCCCTAGAAGTCTGATTCTAGATGCAGTGAACGGGATACACATGGATTTGCCCAATCAATAAATATCTTGAGGAAACACACACTCGAGAGAACATAATCTTAGGGGTTGCTGCCTGGTGTCCTTGGAGAAGGATGGCTCAGTGGCAGGTATGGGCTGGCTTCAGTTTGCAGGCTGCCAGGAGAGGTCTGGGGAACTTCTGCCAGTGCTGAGACATTCCCACCCCCCGTGACTTTTCACTTTCTGTCACCTGCTTCGTTTTTAGCTCTTATTCTTTTATGATTCATCTGGTGTCTCTTTTCAATGCCTAATATTTTAGGGATTTAGCCGACTCATACAGGAGGAAAACAAATGGGCATGAGGTGTTGCAGAGCAGTCTACTGAAGATACGATTTATTAAGTCTAAGAAAATAGGACTTGGGTGTGCTCTCCCTCTGGAGAGAACACGCACATTTCCTTCCCTCTCTTCTTCCCCACAGGCATGCATCTCCTAAACGCTAAGGGTCCCCATGAGACTTGCACCTAGGGGAGCAATGGGCAGCAGCAGCGCATCCCAGGCCAACCCCCTGAACCTATCTCCAAAGCACCCTTCCCTGACTTCCCAATGAGCTAAAGCAGCCCCACTTTGGCTCATTTCTTTCCTAAAACATTAAAAAATATATTTGTATTGATTTCAGAGAAGAAGGGAGAGGGAGAGAGAGAAACATCAATGATGAGAAAGAATCACCAAACGGCTGCCTCTAGAACATGCCCCGTCCCCTCCCCTCCCCCTTCCCCTACTGGGAATTGAGACTGCATCCTGAGCATGTGCCCTTGACTGGAATCGAACCTGGGATCCTTCAGTTTGCAGGCTGATGCTCTATCCACTGAGCCAAATCCGCTAGGGCTTTCCTATAACATTTTTAAAGAGACAAAGCAGACCAGCCTAGGCTCCCCTGTTATTTCTTCTATACTAAACCCTTTCTTGTTTCACTGTCCTCAGCTTTAAACGTTTTGTTTGCTTGCTTGCTTGTGTGTGTGTGGTTTTTTGTTTGTTTGTTTGTTTGTTTGTGTTGTTTTGTCTTACTGATTTTAGAGAGAAAGGAAGGGAGAGGGAGAGATTGAAATATGGATGAGAGAGAAACATCAACAGGCTACCTCCTGCATGCCCCTCTCTGGGAACTGAATCCACAAACCAGGCATGTGCCCTGATTGGGAATAGAACTGGTAACCTTTCCGTGCATGGGTCAACGCTCAATCATTGAGCCATATCAGCAGGGCCAGCAAGACTCTTTTAATGTTTTAATCGGGGTGATCCATTAAGTGGGTCAAGTCAGGACACATAGAATAGGTAGACCTCTTATTTCTTAATCATCAAAACCATCTTTCAATTCATCTGATTAGTATGGGTTCTTCATTGTAAAAGTAATCCCTTATTTTTTTAAAAAAAAAGTATTATGCAGCCTTCAGAGATAGCAGGCAGTTTTATATTATACTCACGTCTGTAAAGGCAAAATGTGTTGTCAGCATCTGCTTCGGATGTAGGTATTCCAGATCTGATGAGCTCATCCACAGATGGCACCGAGGACAGCAGGCAAGGCCTCTTGGAGACAGAACCTCGTGAGCATGTGGCAGGTGGCTCATCAGTCTAGTTCAGGGCCTAGGGGTCAACTATGGGTTCCAACAATTCTACCTGTCAACACTCAGAATCATTTGTCTTTGGGCACTAATCCGTATGCCTTAATTCATTAAAGGATGGAGAAAAAAGAAAAATGACTGTTTACAGCAGGGCCCATAATTCTTTTTCAGCAGCTAAAATGCATATACTTTATCTAGTTCACTCTTCCCAAGTAATAGGATTGTTGGGGAGCTGGATCTGTTATAAGGCTCTGAACTCAGCAAGGAAGAAACCTGGAGGGGAAAAGCTTCTCTATTTGAGAGGCTGGAAATGCTCATGCCTTCCTCCCTGAATGGTGCTGGAAAGGTTGAGGTCCTGTTCCCAGAGCCTCATTCTAGAGTCTAGGTCCAAACCCTCATCTGTTTCTTCAGTATGTTGACACCACTGATGGGGCGGTAGATTCCTTCATTTTCATTCATGACCTCAACACCCAGACTCTACCTTAACCCTGACCCTTCCAGATCTAATCTAGAAACATCCTGAGGTCCAAGGATGGCCAATTTCATCCAAGGTGTGTGGATATTATTACCAACAACAGCTACAGCAACAATAATTAACATTCACTGAACACTTACCATGTGACAAGCATGGCACTAAATGCTTTATCTTCATTAACTCATTGAATTCATATAACAGCCTTCTGAAGAAGGTGCCCATCATTAGTCCCATTTTACAAAGGAAGAAGTCAAGGCTTTGGGTGGTAACTTGCCCAAGTTAATAAGTTGCCCACTTGCCACACAGTTGTAACAGGGAAAGCCAGGATTCGAGCCTAAGTGCTTCAGGCTCCAGAGCCTGGGTCTTGAGCATTAAGCGATACTGCCTCCAGGAGATACTTTAACCCACCTCCTGAGAGCATCTCACTGTGGACTCAACACAAAAAACAATGACAAGTGGCCATGAGCACTCTGTTGAAATTTAAGCTTAAAAATACAGTTGACTCTTGAATAATGTGGGGGTTAAAGGCACTGACACCCTACCCCCCAAGCACTTGAAAATCTATATGTAACTTTTGACTCCCCCAAAACTTAAGTTGTCCCTTGGTATCCATAGGAGATTGATTCCAGAATTCCCTGCAAGTACTAAAATCTGCAGAAGTTCAAGTCCGCTGTATAAAACGATGTAGTCCTCCTCATCCTCGGATTCCTGACTGTGGACCATACACAGTACAGGTATTTATTGAAATAAATGGGCCCCCACAGTTCAAACCTGTGTTGTTCAAGGATCAACTGTCATTGGTTTGGACATAGTTGTTAGAAATCAAGCCATTACCTGGGGGGGAAATATCTACCCGTGTTTCCCCAAAAATAAGACATCCTCCGAAAATAAGACCTAGCGCATGGCAAAATAAGACATCCCCTGAAAATAAGATCTAGCGCATCTTTGGGAGCAAAAATTAATATAAGACACTGTCTTATTTTCGGGGAAACAGGGTACAAAAAGAAATCATGTGAAATCTGAGAACCCATTGTGACAGTCAAGGAGCCCACACTGTATTGCTCATCATGTAACTCTAAAAGCTGCCTGTTGTGTGGGGAGCTTGGGGGAAATACCGAACAGGACAGAAAAGCCTGCCCCATCACTGGAAAGGCAGCCAAAGAACTTCTGCCACCTCCACCCAGAGCAGGGCCTACCGAAGGCCACAGAGGGGACAGTGCCCCCTGCAGAGACTGTCCGTTATTTCTGACGCTGTGCGAGTTTCCTAATGAATAAACAAATAATTGTGTGTTTCTATCATGCCCCTTGTGATTCAGATCAGTGAAGCACTGCTTATTTATGAAGGAAGAATCACAAACACTCCATATCCCAAATAGCTTTCAGAAAAACAACACTGAAAAGCAGTTCTAAGCCTATTTCACTGATCTAACTAACCTTCTCTCTGTTTCCCCCTGTAGAATTGAAAAGAGGGGGCTGGGGGTGGGGTATGCAAAGCCAAATGTAAGTGGAAACTGCTTGAGTGGATCAAGAAATAAAAAAATAAAAATAAAAAAAAGTCGCAGATAATCCCCAAACCTCATTTCAACCATTAGAATTCTCCCCCTTCAGACATTTCACAAAATAGCTAATGAGTTATCAACAATTACTTTATTGAGCATTGCAAGGTACACAGCATTGCACATAGCTTGAAAATGTCAAATTGATGTCATTTGTCACACCCTCTCTAAAGGTGTCACGGATTTCCACGGTTCTATGGTTTTTTCTCCGGGGCTCCAGGGAGTGGCTGCCAGTACCTTTGCTGTAGCACTCCCGGTGGCCTCCCTACTCGATTTTTTATCTCCTCAAAGATGTGATCCATGTAGTGTTGATCTCTGCAACCTTGATGTTCTAATATATATTGGATCAATGGATAACTGGATGAATGATCAGTGCTTCACTCTAAATCCTCCTCCAAACTCCCTAGCCTGCATCTAGGTGGAAGTGTTAATGCCAATGAGAAGCCAACATTCAAAAGGCACAGTGAAAACGGAGTGTGGCTAGTCCACATGCTAGAAAATCAGCTCCCTCAGAACGAACAGGTGGCTGACTTCCCCAAGAGCCTGAGAACGTAACAGAGCCACGGAAAAACCTCCAAGCCAAAGGTGGGGGTGTATCAACCCCAACTCCCACCTCAAAACCCGAAGTAGCTGGTTGGATGCAGACCAGCAGTCCAGCCACGTGCTGGGTCCCTGTGCCCGTGAGCCAGAGGCACAGTCATCGCTTGTGTTCCAGTGCAAAGTCTCAGCCACCCAAACTTAAGAATATTTTTGCTTTGTTATTCCTTCACAAATTAAAAAAAACACAACAAAGCCCATGCAAGAATCAATAAATAAGACATTAAAGAAGCCATGAAACAAAAGACACTTCCAAATGGTTCTCAAGAAGCAGTTTGGATGCCCTGCTCCTTGCATGGGGCCAAGGGGCTCCAGCTGCCATGGATGCCCCCCGTGGGCCTTTCAGTGTGCAGATATGTACATATATATGTATATGTAATGTAACTCATTACACTCATGTTTCTCATCCACCAACACAGAACCTGTGGGAGGCAGTAAGCATGATGCTGCGTATGGATGGCCAATAGTGTCACCACATAGGCATGTCCAACTGGTTAGTCTGTTTGATGAATGATGGAGAAAACTCTGCCATAGTCCAGGGAGGCATCTGAAGAGTACCACACACACCACATAGCTGACATCCTAGCAGTGAAGGGACGTGTGCAAAAGATCATGGTTCCCGATATGCCACCAGGCAGGCATGAAACGGAAGTCAAGCCTTTTACCTCCCTGTGCCTCAGGCTCCTCGTCAAATCAAGGTTTAGCCAGACTATCTGGTCACGTCTAACATTCTCTTTCTTTCACGCGGCAGGATTCTTGACCCATCAGTATCCTCACCCTTCCCTGTGCCTTCACACTGCTGAGATGAAGAGCAGCACAATCATGGGTGCCAATGCTCACAAACAGACGTGTTGGTGAAGTACTGCTTAAGATTCTTAAGTGGAGCTCCTAGCTCCCTATCATGGACCAGACTGAGGTCATGCTCCCCAACCTTGGCATCACAGATTGATCAGGATGCCAGCTTGCTGGCTGCTCTTCTACTTTAGGTCCAATTCAATGATTTTTCTGCAAAATGTAACTCACTACACTCATGTTTCTCATCCACCAATCCGATACAAATAGTTGACCCATCCTTTTCTCCTTGTTGTCTTTCTGGACTCCAGGTTTTTGTATCTGACTTTCAGATGAATGGTGGCCCCCAAGACCAGTACATTACACTTGCCTTTTTTTTTTTTTTTACCTCACAACAATTCTTTAGAACACTTATAAAAATCCGGGCCATTCATTCTGAGCTGTGAAAGGCAGAGCAAAGTTTGGGGGATTCTGCTTCCTCTTCTTATCATTTTCAGTGCAATATTTAAAATAAGTGTTTGATCAAAACACTGGAGATTAGCGCTCAAATCAATTTACATTAATAGGAGAGTAATGTTTTCTAGCCTCAAACACACTATAAAAATAATTGTCTACGAGATAATTCTTAATCAGGTTTATACATATGTAAACTTTCCAGACGGCTAGAATAGATTTTGTTCAGTGGCTCTTTTCTATACATTTATACCAAAACAATCATATTAAGGATAGAAGTCAATGTGTTTTACTGTATTGGGTATTTGCTTGATGCATAAGAAAGACTGATCTGGTATGTTGCAGAATTTGAATTTTCATTTTAGCTTAACATGTAGGTCCTTGAGCTCCATCCTGTCAACCAGATATTGAATATATTTCAAATTAGTCCAAGCTTGGCTAGGAATGTCCTGGGACCTACAGCACTTACTCAGAGCTGGGGTCTGACTGATGTGCCCTCTTCTTTCTACCCAAGAAGACTGTCCTACAGTGTTCAAGGGGCAAATCATCTTTGCCCTTGCATTCAAAATTTATTATGCCGCTTTTGGCATAAAATGTTTATCATTACATAAAAGAAAAATTCAGCAAAATTCAACTCTGGAGGAAAAAAACATCTGAAAGGCCCTTGGAAGCCACAGAAAGCTAAGGGATATAACAGACTCTCTACCCTAAGGAAGCTATTTCACCAGGGAAGCATGTCTGCACCTCACCAAGATCAGCTGAGTTGAGGAGAAAGAGAAGTGAAAGACACATTGGCCAAGAATATTTATGCCAGTTTTGCCTTGAGTCTCAGAGAGTAATAGGAGGAACAAGATTTCTTTCTCATCGTCTCGGAAACTCTTTGGTTGAAAGTTGTCCTTTTTTTCACTTTCCCCTCCTGTAGAATTTTAATGAACACCAGAATGTCTCAGCTGGTTATCTGCATCAGAGTAAATAACTAAAGGTCATGGTTTAGAAGTTTGCTCATTTCATATCAGATGACCTATACATAGTCCTACCGTGACCATTTCTCTAGGGTCAAGTCTAAATTGCACCATCTTCCTTTGCAAAAACATACATTCATCCCCATGAAAGGCCAAAATTAATGATAGTGGATAGTGAACAAAGACTCATTGTACAAAGTATTCCAGCCTTTTCTATTAAAAAAAAAATCAAATTTACTGTGACTGGCCACTATTAGTTTTTTGAATTCTATAACTCCCCAGAATTTTCAAAAGTAACCTTATAGCCAATCCGCTTGAAAACACTAAAGACAACCTGAAATAGGCCACCCATGGTACCAAAAGCAGTGTCAAAGAGCAGAGAGATGGCGCCACCGAGGCCCACTGCGATGTCCTTGCACACGATAGGAATGGCGCCCATGGTGTACACAGGGAAAGAGGCCACATCCACGAGGACTCGGACAGGGATGCCCAGAATGCGGCAAACAACCTTCAGCAGACAACAGAGGATCCGGAGAATGGCCCTGATGATTTTGAGTATGACTTTGAGTACCTTCCAGGGAATGCTTGCCAACTCTTCCCCAATGGCCAAGAAGTAGGAGATAGTGGCTGAACCCAGGTGGTAAAGGCAACTTTCGATGCCATTAATCACCTGCTTGGCGGCATACCACAGGACGTACACAGTGTTCTTCAGGATGCCCACCACAAGGCAGCAAATTAGTTGGGAAAGCTTGATGAACGGGGTGGCGATGAAGCCTATGAGATTCCCCAGAAGGCTACTCCTTTCCTCGGGGGCCTCTGGAGGCTGCAGAGCAGACCTCTTGCTCCTTGTGCTGGGGACGGCGCTGGTGGTTTCTTTAGATTGCACCATCCGCTCTTCATCCTGGACTTGGTTCACCATTTCCAGGATTTTTTTCATTTTCTCCGTGTCCTGTTCTGTTTCGCCACAGTTGTTCTGGAACAACTGAGGGTTCGACGGAAGCAGTTTCTCCAGTTCTTTCACCATCACATCTTCTATGACATCACCGCCCGTGGTGTGCTTGACAAAGCCCATGGCCCAGCCTCCTCCGGGGACAGCACAGCAGGCTGCCAGCCAAACAAACTTAGGAATGGTCACCCTGTCTTTGACTTTGACGTCTGAGGGCACGGCGCCTGTGATGATATATAGGTGGTTCCCACCTCCACACTGTGGGGTCAGGGCCCGGTCCATGAGGCTGTTCAGATTCATGTACCACCGTTCCTGGAAGGTCTGGGTCATCGGAACTGCATTTGTGAGAGCGAATGTGGCCATGTGCAAGTCATTGCTGAGGGAGAACGGGTACAGCTGTCCTCTCTGATAATCAGAATCCAGGTAATCTGTAGTCAAGGCCTGCTTGCTTCCCAGACTGTCCACAGTGGTGATGGCGTCAGCCTCATTAATCACCTCCTCAAGGTTGCTGTTGGGATCATCGATCTGAAAGAGGAGAGGGTGTGTTCAGATGCATCAGTGGCCTTGAATCATTCTGCCAAGAACCTAACACAGGGGTGGGGAACCTTTATTCTGCCAAGGGCCATTTGGATATTTATAACATCACTAGAGGCCCGGTGCACAAATTTGTGCACAGGTGGAGTCCCTTGGCCTGGCCAGTGATCAGGGCTGATCAGGGTCTGGCCCAGTCTTAATTAGGTTGATCAGGGCCGGGGGGTGGGGGTAAGGGGTGGGGGGGGGTGGGGAAAGAGGTGGATCGTGGAAGGTTGACTGTGGGAGCGCACTGACCACCAGGGGGCAGCTCCTGCATTGATTTTCTACCCCCAGGTGATCAGTGTGCATCATAGCAACTACACTTCCTACATTTGGGTTTGGGAGGGCTTGGCTTCTGGTGCATGTACCCTTCATTCATTCTAACATCCCCTAATCCTGATCACCTTTAAAAGATGGTTTCCTATATTACTCTCTGTGTATCCTCCACTCCTACTCTGCAATAATACCCTCTCTCTCTCAATCTCTCTCTCTCTCTCTCTCTCTCTCTCTCTCTCTCTCTCTCTCTCTCTCTCTCACACACACACACACACACACACACACTCACACACACATACCCCATCATGATATGCTTTTTTAATCTGCTGTGGTTTGATGAATTTCATAGCTCTTTTCTGGAATATTTTTCCATGAGATTCAACTTGATTGTGAAAATGAAAGCAAGGGGAAAGTAGATTTTAATCAGCCCATAAAAATCAGAACTGCACTTCAGATAATCAGCCACCAATGTTGTCTGCAATGTAATGAACACCTCCTTAATGAATGTTTATATAGTTTGGGATATATAAAAAAAAAAAAATCAACTTTAATTACAGCATCTAAATCAAATGAACAAAAATATATAGCTTATCATCAGTTATTAGATATTTAGGCTAACCTAAAATTACAATTTGAATAACTGCTGTTTCAATTTAATCTCCCCATGACATTTACTGTTAACAATTACTTTTCAGTCTAGGTCAATCTAGATATGTACCAATAATCCTACTTTTGCCCCACACTGTGTGTGTGTGTGTGTGTGTGTGTGTGTGTGTAATCTTGGTTTTGTTTTTCTTTTTAAATTCAGCAGTATAATGTATGCTTTCACTTTACCAATCTACAAGGACAAAGGAAAGAGCTCAGGATTGACCCATGACTCCATTTTTACCTCTCAAACCGAATTGTCAATTCCTTGATGTCAGGGACCCTGTATATTCCCCATAGGATCCAAACAAGGACTGACACACATTAGAATCTCAAGGTACTAATTCTTCTCTGTGCCCTGAGATAGTCATCATGGCAGACAGGTATAATAGGAAGTTGAACAACCCACATTTTCAAAAAACAAAAAAGGTTAAGTAAACAATGTTATATCAGAGAAATATCTCAAAGCCTTTCAAAAGCATCTATAATTATGATGAATTTGTAATGATGGGGAAATATATGCTATAATATTGAAAGAAAAAGAATACAAAGTTTAATAAATGCAAAATTTTAAGTTTAAAAATAGGCGAGGAATACTGGAAGGAAACACAGGAAAATGTCCACAATGGTAATTTTCTTGTCTTTCTCCCTATACCTCTCCCACTGACATCAATCCACAAATTATTTATAGTACTAGAGGCCCGGTGCACAAGATTTGTGCATGGGAGGTGGGGTCCCTCAGCCCAACCTGCAGCCTCTCCAATCTGGGACCCCTAGGGGGGTGTCTGACAGCCTGCAGGGATGGGGTCTAAACTAACAGTCAGACATCTGTCTTGCAATCTGAGACTGCTGGCTCCTAACCTCTCGCCTGCTTGCCTGCCTGATCACCCCTAACCAATTTGCCTGCCTGACTGTTCCTCTGCCAGCCTGGTCCCCCCCTAACTGCCCCCCTGCCAGCCTGGTCCCCTCTTAACTGCTCCTCTGTTGACATGGTCCTCCCTTAACTACCCCCTGATGGCCTGGTCACCTCCTAACTGCCTCCTGCTGGCCTAGTTCCCCTCTGATTCTTCCTCTGCTGGCCTGGTCCCCCTCTAACTGCCCCCCTGCCGGCCTGGTCCCCCCAGCTGTCCCCTTCCTGGCCTAGTCACCCCCTAACTGTCAAGAAGGAAGTCAGATGTCTGGAAGATGTCCAGTCGACCGGGTCTAATCAGCAATATTACCCTTTTATTAGTATAGATGTGTTACTTTTGAAAGGAAGCAAACAAGAAATGAATTTAAATAAGTAAATTCTTGACCAGCTGGTGTGGCTCTGTGGTTGACTGTCGACCTATGAACCAGGAAGTCACAGTTCTATTTCTAGTCAGAGCACATGCTCGGGGTTTCAGGCTTGATCCTGGGTGGGGGCATGCAGAAGGCAGTTGAAGATTCTCTCTCATCACTGATGTTTCTCTCTCTCTCTCTCTCCCTCTCCCTTCCTCCCCAAAATCAATGAACATATATGTATTTTTAAAATAAGTAAATTCTTAATAACTGATTTCCTAGAGTTTGTGCTACTAAACCCATCACTATCCCAAGGGAATCAAGGCTATGTGAATTGTGTTGTACCTCTTGTCAGGAGGAAAACCAAACATGCATTTCTTCAATTCTACAATGGCAAATGTGGGCATATTCATGGGAGTATGTGTAGGGTTAGCAAGGGCAATGGATGAGCAAATTGATGTAAAAGCAGCAATATTCACTGACATCTAATAGATTACGCCACAGCCTCAGTCTTCCCCCAGTCCTAGAATCAGCAATGCTCCCCACTCCTACCAGACCCCCAGCGGACAGAGATAAACAGCTCATTCATTTGCACAGCTTCTGCTGCTGCTCTACTAGAGCTGAAAGATGTACCACTTGGACATATCAGCCTCATTCCTAAGTCATGAGATCAAGTTATGGCAGAGCCAAGATTGTGGAGTCTTGGGTGTAAGGTCAGGGATTTCCAGATGCATGTGTTGCCATGGTTACTAGGCATTCTGTCTGCATTTAGCCTACAACTTCTTGATCCTCTCAAGGGAAAGACTGGAGCTGGTTTTTTAATTGCTCCTGTGACAGAGCAGAGGCAGCGTGCAGATGTGTTGTCAGTCCAGGAGCCATCCAGGGATGAAACAGTGCCTGCAGGGTGGATGGCAGGCCTGGAACAGGAGCAGAGGAGAGAGGCTCTTGGATGAGAAAGGAGAGGGAACAAGAGAGAGAGAGAGAAAAGGGGAGGAATAAAAGGTAGGGGAAGTTAAGGAGGGAGGGAGGAAGGGAGGAAGGGAGAAAGATAACACAATATCCTCTTTTAGGCAGAAAAAGACTGTGGATTTTGACTTATTCCAAATGAGTTTAGAACATGGCCTTATAGCTTTAGAACAAGGTCAAAGAAGATTTAGCTGGTTGCTTCTGCATTCTCTCAGGCCAGTTGGGTTCATGGGGCTTCAAATTTCTGCTATGGTTGTGCACCTGGCAACCAGGTTAAGCCTTTTCTACTCTAACTTCATAGGGACAAAAGAAATGGGCCAGGATGGCACCAAGGTTGCTGAGAAGGCCAGGGCCTAATTAATGATACAATGGGCTCTGTGCACCTCCCTGCCCTGGGTCACCTAAGGCCAAGGAGTAACTAGATGCTGTGGATACACATACAGAAGAGAGCACATCTTTCCTCCCCCTTTCCTTGCTTTTGCAGAATCCCATATCTATGGTCACTATATTCTTATGATCTCCAAATTCGGTTTTATGGCTTGGTGACAAAATACAATATAATGTTTGAAATCAAGATAGAAGGCCTATATACTATACCTATATGGTGATGGGATGTGAGGGTCAGGGACTTATATGGTTTAGACTACTAAATAATTGTTTTCTTCATAGCACTATATGAAAGGCATTTTAAAAAATATATTTTTACTAGAGGCCCGATGCACAAAATTCATGCACTCGTGGGCAGGGATGAGGGGTGGGAGTGGGATCCCTCAGCCGAGATTGCGAGAGGGCACAGGCCAGGCCAAGGGACTCCACTGGTACATAATCGAGTCCGGGGAGGAACGTGGGAGGTTGGCCAGCCAGGGAGGGACCATGAGAGGTCTCCAGGGTGTGTCTGTCCCATCCCTATAGGCCAGACCTTAGCAGCAAGCTAATCTAACAGTTAGAGCGTCTTCCCCCCTGGTGGTCAGTGCACATCATAGCTACTGGTCGAGCAGCAAACCATCTGCCCCCTGGTGGTCAGTGCACATCATAGCAAGCAGTTGAGCGGCAGTAGCATATCACACTTTGATTGGTTGAGTGGCCGACCAGACACTTAGCATATTGGGCTTTTATAATATAGGATTGATTTTAGAGAGAAAAGGAGAGGGAAAGAGAGATATAAACCTCAATGATGAGCGAGAATCATTGATTGGCTGCCTCCTGCACACTGCCTTCCGAGGATTGAGCCCAAAATCCCAGCATGTGTCGTGAGCGGAAATTGAACTGTGACCTCCTAGTTCATAGGTTGATGCTCAAACAGTGAGCCACATGGGCCTGACTGGATGGTATTTTTACCTTATTTTATGGATGGGGAAATGAAAACACAGAAAGATGATGTAACGTTTCACAAAGTCACCCAATAATTAGCAGAAACAGGACTTGAATTGAGATCAGTAATTTTATACCTAAAGCTTATGTCCTTTATTACTAAATCATACTTTCCCCATCTTCATGGACATTGTTATCACAGTTTTCTCTGTCACCGAGTAGGAAAAAGTGCCACACTGTTTGCAATCTACTTTTCTCTCTGTGCCATAAAATAATTGAAGCTCCTCAAGGTTGCAGGGAAAGAAGCTGATATCTGAGCTCCCGGTGCTGCAGTCCTAGACTGAAGAGAGAATGGTAAGGGGAAGGTAAGAGGGCACATCTCCAGGCTGGCTTTCATGCCACCTTGTTGCCTTTGCCCACAGTCTAGTGTGGCAGCACAGGCAGAGGGCAGCTGGCCAGAGCAGTTTCCAGACTCCTATTACCCTTAGAAACTGGTCATTGGTCTGGCCCTCTATATTCCTATCAGCTCGTCATTTGGCCACTCCCCCGCCCAGCCTCACCCTCACTCTACACCAGTAAGGGTAGCCGAGAAACAGCAAGCATAGCAAACCTTCTTGGAGAAAAACTATAAAATCAGTCCCTCACCATAATCTCTTCTGCTCCCACTGCACAGAAAGAAGTTCAACAGTTAGGAAAGGGACTCTGTATAGCAAGCATGTCAAACCCGCGGCCCACAGACCACATACGGCCTACAACCAATATTTTTGCCACCCAGCCAAAATAATGGTATGTAAGAAACATCTTAAAAATTTCGTGACTTAATTTTTATAATATCCTGTTAGACATAATTATTAATAACGCACTACAACATTCACTAGTGACTGGTTATTATAACCATGTTGCATTCATTTCCCTTATGTGCCTTACACTCAGTCGCACCATTTCTCTCCACTAATACTAACAGCAAATATTTTAGCAGCCGACTGCCACATCATCAGTCTTGTACTGACTTGTTTTGGTGTGCACAACAGGAAATATTTCGTTTTCAGAGAACAAGGAAAAATAGGTTTATTTGTGTTACTCTTATTAATTTGTGCAGTTATCAGTGTCTGGTAAGTTAACATTCAAGAAAAAATATTAATTTTTATTAAAATGTTTTATTGTTTTATGTTAACGATGACTCATTTATTTTAGCCCTTTGTATTCAGCATGTCTCTATCAAAATAAACTACATTTCTATGAAAATCGAAGCTTTTGTTTTTTGATGCCCACATAAGCTTAAACCTTGTTTATTTGGCCTGTGTTAGCCTTTGAGTTTGACATGCTTGGGCTACAGTCACTGTCACCTGGGTAAACTGTATGGCTTAACTGAATCTGGACTATGTTTCTTAAGACTTTCTGTTTCCAATGAACAAAGACTTGTTTGTGTTGCCTCCTATACAGATGGTTCACTGGAAGGATAAAAATAATCTAGAAACCAAAAGAAGTTGAACCAACAGGCTCCGAAAGATCCAGAGTTGTGGCATAGCTTGGCCATGCTGGAACCAGAAATGGGTTCCAGACAGCTCTAGGGAATTGTGGCAGCAAGCGTCTGTAGCTGAGACTAATTCGGCGTTTTAATATTTGCCATCAATCAGCCACATTTGACCTATCAGACTTTTTCTATCTCCCCCTCCTGGCTTCTTCGTCTACTTCTTTCTGCATAGCTTTTTCTATACCGTGGCCCCTCCTAACGTATGGTCTCTGTTCAACTATCACTTGAGTTTGCACATGGATCATCACAGCCTCCCTGATGACGAAATATTTCCTGTTGCGCATACCAAACAAATCAGTACAAGACTAATGATGTGGCAATCGGCTGCTAAAATATTCGCTACTAGTATTAGTGGAGAGAAATGGTGCGACTGAGTGGAAGGCGCATAAGGGAAATGAATGCAACACGGTTATAATAATCAGTCATTAGTGAACATTGTAGTGCATTATTAATAATAAGATTTACCTTCAATCTTAGCTACTTCTGTTACTTAATCAGTTCCTACTTCAAAGGCTCAAGAGATAGAATCTGAGTGATTCAGCTCAATGTTTCCTATCAGGCCATGTCACGACAAGCCTCTAGAATAGCCATCCTTGAGTGAAATGCTCACCCCTGCCCAATCAGCTGTGGCCGGGTGCTGGAGAAGGACACCCTGGAAGTGTCAGGCATTCTAGGTGTGGCTTGTCTAGTCATAACTTTAGTTTGACACACTAATGTAGATAAATGAGTGTGAATAATACTAAACAAAATTAAAACAAGAAATAAGAAATAGATAAATGTCCCAAGGTTTACCTCATCCAGTATTAATCTCTGACAAAAATAACAAAGGGTGTCTTATAAGATGACATATGGACCTTCCATAAACCCTTTATTCTCTCCTTTGAGGATCTAACTAGATACGCCTCAAATCTTTGCGACTTACATCCTTTCTCACATTTTATGTCTCATTAACTCTCCATATTTTATTCTAGGTGAGTTCCTCTGATATATCTCCCAATTCACTAATTCTCTCTTTAGCTATATTTAGTCTACTTGTTTGTTAAGGTGTTTTTCTTTTTGCATCTTAATGACTCTGTTTTTCTTTTCTAACATTTCTATTTCAAATTTTTCTTGATTATTTTCTCTTGTAAAATTCTTTCTTATCTGTCAATAATTTGGACATACATATCTAAAATTCACAGTTTGATTCCTGGTCAGGACACATGCCCAGGTTGCGAGCTCCATACCCAGAGTGGGGCACACAGGAGGCAGCCGATCAATGATTCTCTCTCATCATTGATGTTTCTATCTCTTTCTCCCTCGCCCTTCCTCTCTGAAATCAATTTTTAAAAATTAAGATAAAAAGGCATATTCTAGGGTGAAGATCTTTTTAAAATTAGATATTACATTATGAAGTCACTTCACCATATCATTTGTAAATATATTAATTCCCAGGGCCTAATAATAGTCTGTTAACTGACTTCCACTGAGAGAAATGCCCCTTATAATTCCTACTTCTTATCTTAAAACTTTTTAACCTATGATGAGACTTTCTTCAGATCCCAAGATGTTTTATTACCATTTGTTAAAGAATTATCTGAAAATCTAAAAAAAAAATTCTCTATACCAGCTTCCTGTCACCACCATGCTTATTTACTCCACAACTGAGTGCATCTGGGTAGGCTCTCACTGTCTGAAGGAATGACAAAGTGTGTGTGTAACAAAATACCTAATGCATGTATGGGAAATTGTATGAAAGGTAGCACAAGTATGTGTTTTTTAAAATCTAAAATATTATTTGCTACAGTGTCATGTAAAGGACAGGTGTATTTTCCATGCTCTCTGCAGACATAGTTTAATGATCTGGTTATTGCAATTACAATAAATTACTGACAGCACCACTTCCTAAAGACAAAAATGCACCTATGATGTAAGAGGTAATTTCAGACTTCAGTTTCTGGGCTACACTGGTCCTTCTGTGTGCACCACCAATCTTACTCTTTGGTTTCCCAACAGAGTCTCTGAAGTAGGGGCAGGTACAAAGATCTCACTGTGTAATCCTCCTCCCTGCTGACCTAGTCCCCCTGGGCTGCCAGGGTAATTTGATACCGTTCCTGTGTTTCATGGAAACTTTTTCTTCCTAATCACAACATGTTAAGTAGGTTTTAGAAGAATGAGCTCCCCCCTCCACCAGCATCCTGCCCCATAAATAATCTTATAATAAATTCCTTTCAAATTTAGTAACAAGGAAAAATAGTTTCTCTCAACGTCTTGGTCAATTTCTTCCATTTGACATTAAAAGCTATTTCAACCATGGGACTTCTTTTTTGCTTTGGGTTTAAATAAAAGGATACTTTCAAATTTCCTGCTAGTATGCATGTAAAAAAACACACACAAAAAAAACAGACTAGTAGAAAATTGAAAAAGAGTACTGGAGGGGAAATATTCACCCATCAACAATATTTATTACTTTATTATAATTTATAACATTTATAAGCATAAAATTTTGTGACTAGTGATGGGAGGAAGCATCAGGATTAGTAATAATAATACCTAATAAAAGTGTAATATGCAAATTGACTGTCACTCCAACACACAAGATGGCTGCTCCCATGTGAACACAAATGGCCACAACAAGATGGCCAGCAGGGGAGGGCAGTTTGGAGAGACAAGGCCTGCAAGGGAGGGCAGTTGGGGGTGATCAATCCTGCAAGGGAGCGCAGTTAGGGATGACCAGGCCGGCAGAGAAGGGAAGTTGGGGGTGACTGAGCCTGTAGGTTAAGGGTAGTTGGGAGGACCCAGGCCTGTAGGGGAGAGCAGTTGGGGGGACCAGGACTGCAAGGGAGGGCAGTTAGGGGCAAACAGGCTGGCAAGGGAACAGTTAGGCATCAATCAGGCTGGCATGGGAATGGTTTAGGCCGCAGGCATCCTCAAACTTTTTAAAGTGGGGGCCAGATCACGGTCCCTCAGAGAGCTGGAGGGCCGGACTATATGAACTACTAATTCCTACTGTAACACCTCGGCTGTGCTCACTGCCCAAAAAACCTGGCGGGCCGGATCAGACTCCTCTGCGGGCTACATGTGGCCCGCGGGCCGTAGTTTGAAGACGCCTGGTTTAGGGAGTGATCAGGCTGGCAGGCAGAGGCAGTTAGGGACAATCAGGAAGGCAGACAGGCAAGCAGTTGGGAGCCAGCAGTCCTGGATTGTGAGAGGGATGTCTGACTGCCCATTTAGGGCAGTCGTACATCCTTTGAGGGGTCACAAGTGCAGACTGGGCTGAGAGACTCACATTCCCTTGCATGAATTTCATGCACTGGGCTTCTAGTCCTATATAATGAAGAGCTAATATGCTAATTAGACCGAAGAGCAGAATGACCATCTGGATGACCTTCTGGATGACCGTCTGAATGAAATTGGGGCTGTGAGGACCAAGCCCCTTGCATGAATTTTGTGCACTGGGCCTCTAGTAATATCAATAACAACAACATTTATTGAATACTTTATGCCAGGCATTCTGAGAACTTTATTTTTGTTGTTGTTGTTATTGTTAGTCCTCACCAGAGGATATTTTCCCAAAAATTTTTAGAGAGTGGAAAGGAGGAGGAGAGACAAATATCGATGTGAGAGAGACACACATTGATTAATTGCCTCCTGCACACACCTGACGAGGGCTAGGGACTGAGCCTGTTACCCAAGTACGTGCCCTTGACCAGAAACAAATTATTCAGTCGGCAGGTGATGCTCTATTCACTGAGCCAAACCGGCTAGGACCTGAGAATTTTATTGTACATGCATTCAATCAGTTAAGTGGCTGTGGTGTGTATTGACTCATTTAAACCCACACAACTAGGTACTATTCTTCTCACCTGTTGACAGATAAAGAAACTGAGTCACATCAAGATTAAGTAACTTGCTAAGGTCACACGGTTCGTGAGTAATAGTATCAGGGCATGAACTGAAGAGATCCAGCCCACAGCTACTGTCTTACATGCTTTGCAGGCCTCCAAATAGGCCTTCACATCAAGAAACTCACCATCTATTTAGGAAAACAAGATATAGATACAGAGTCATATTGGAAATCGAGGGAAAAAGAACAGTGTAATGCAGTTTATGTTAAATGGTGTAAAGAAAAAAGAAAAATCAAATTTTAGAGGAAGGAAGGGCAGCATGAGTGCAGCTGAGGAAGAATTCTTACAGAAGCTGAGATGGGATTAGGAGGATGTGCAAGACTTCGATAAATTTAGAGAAATGGAAGCTCAGTAAGGCTTAACAACACTTCTCTACAAAGGCTTGAG